AACTGATGCTGAATGAGAATGATACCTAACAGCCTGAACAATAATAGTCGTGTAGGTGTTTCATAGGTAAACATCGTTGCTCCTTCGGCATTTCTGGCTCCCATGGTGGCACCTCCGCGAAGAAGACAACGGCAAACATCGCCGTTACCAGCCATATAAGCCAGCAGAAGAGCTAAATTATCCTCAGTGAATTGCTTATTTCTTTGTTCATACTTGGTCGCAAAGAATTCAAATTTACCGGTGTTTCCATCTGCATCGCGTAGATCAACATATGCACCAAAGTCCTTATCTGCAAGCCTGCCTGCTTCTCGCCTCAGCAATAAATCACATATTTCAGCTGGGGAACTTTTGGGACGAACCTTCTCACCAGTTAACATAGAACAAAGATGCAACGCTGACTGGCAACTAAATTGGTTTACTTGATTTGGCTTACGAGTAAGAATCGTACAAAAAGAGCATACTTTTTGTTTACAGCCAAGCCATCAACGTTTGAATTAGAAATCAATATTCTTACGCAATCTGCACTGCCACATCGGACAGCGGCAAGTAGGGCTGAAAAGAAATCAGAAAGATGAGAGAAGAATTGTGGTACAGCGATGATACTACCATTTTCGGATCTGTCATCGACTACATTAGGATTCGCTCCGTTTTCCAGTAAAATCTCAGCATGGGTGGGACGATTAGCACGAACTGCTACATGTAGAGCTGTGCTACCATCGGTTGCTCTAGCATCTACATCACAACCGGCGAGTATCTAAACATCGCTTTTTTCATTTCACTCAAATAAGAAGAGAAGAGAACATAAATCTTCCGCTTCCTACCAGATTTCGCAGTATCAATTCGTTATCAACATCAGCCGCATAATGTAATGCACTGCGTTTAGATCCGTCTATCGTTACTCGAGTGGCATCAATTTGGGTGCTCAGAAGAAACAGCACACTCTCAAGATCATTCGTTTTCACCATTGTGTGCAACAGATTCTCGCCTACAAATTCAAAAACAAATTAATTTGCAATACCAAGGAAGAATAGCGTTTCAGAAGTTATCTAGATGAAAATCCTAAGATTCACATGAGACTACGGTGAAGTTCGACAGGACTTCAAACGACTTACGTCACGAATTAAGCTTTGTATATTGCTGATAGTTCATGAAAAGCGCAATAGGGCAAGGGATTTCTTGAAAACAAAAATCAATAACCTGTTCAAGTCAACAAAACATATCAAGAGTTTTCTGTCAGCATAGCTGATCCTTTTCATTTAACTTTCTTAACTTCACATCTTCCACAATTTCCCATCCAATTTCTGACGAGGCATTTGGTTCACCTTCACATCAAATCGACCAGGAAAAGCACTTCTAGTGCAGTTTCCCTTTAAAGAGAAATAGGAGCTTTAGAACTTATCTAAGTCAATTATTGAGAAGCAGTTGTGCTGGTCTATACGCAGCCTTTACTATGTAAACGCTTACAGCTCATTATACCAAGAAACTACTTACATTCTCATGGGGACTTTATACATTGTTGCCTTTTCACGCGCAGTTCCCGTACAACCTTACTTTTGGGCAGCCTTTTGGTAAACAAGGCGGATTACACGAGTCTGCACGTTTGAATGTAACGTGCTGAGGCACGAAAAGTAGAAAAACAACTGAGCCCCAACTTAACCCTGTTCAGTCCTTTACAAAGAGAATCCATACTTGCATCGTTGTGACTAACAAATTTACCTCAAGTGTTTCAAAGCCCACATTCTAATTCCTACTAGTAGCATGGTAAATACACCTAGAAGCAAAATTAACGATATCGTGATTACGGCGTCCTTACCTACCATGATCTTTTGGTAAGGCTCTGTCAAGCGAAGATAAGATTCAAGTAACCCTACCAGACAACTTTATAGCGCAATCAATGATCTTAGCCCCCTCCTGTCCAGCTACCGTAATTTTGATAGTTCCACAAAACATTCAAGCGTTAAATCGAAAACCGGTCTGTTGAAGGGGGTCACAACAAACTTCTTCTGGGTGAGTAGGGTCGTTGACCGAGGAGGGAAAGGATGGGTGGAAGAAGGGAGAG